TGCTCAGACTGCCCCAGGAGCTGCTGAAACAGTTCTACAGAGGAATGAGTGAATCTGTCATCTGTACTTCTGCAACTGCCTGGTTTTATATAGCAACAAACAGGACAAGTACACACTTCAATTCATATTTAGGACTGCAGAAAGAACAAATGCAGCCAGCCTGACTTCCACTAAGGACCCATAACTGTAAGAGCCAGAAAGAGGGATGCGAAGATTTCCACAGACATCCTGGACATATACTATTTCAACTTCTTCCCTCAATGCTGCTCCAGGGCATTATGGCGTGCCAAAACAACTAGACACAGGGACAGTTTTTTCACTCGTGCCATCACTCTGCTCAACACCTAATTCCCATTAGCACTGTTTTCTTGGCAAGGTTTTTCAGAAGTGGCTTGCCACTGCCTCCTTCCTAGGACTGAGAGGAAATGACTGGCCCAAGGTCAACCAGCTGGCGCTTTGTGCCTAAGGCGGGAAAGGAACACTATGTTTCCTGGTCTCTAGCTTGATGTCAACCACTACAACAAATTGTTTCTCTAAATATATTAATGTTCTTTAAACAAACCTTGAGCAAATATAAACATTTTTTTCATACTATGCTGAAATAGTGCATTTTGAAACACGTGAGTAGGAATTTGAATTGGAGGAATTTGAATTGCTTGCTTTATACTTTAAAGAGAAGCCTACTAGTTTAAAAGAAGGTGGGCTATAGTTATTTTCTGCAAGCACTAGTAATTTTTCACAACTTCCTGTCTATTTGCAAATATTCAAATACACTGTCAAAAAGGTATCAGCGGCTTAAACAGTTTCTTCCAAACAATGCGTCTCACTCCCTAGTAAGAAAGTACAGGGCTTCAGGTCTGCCCTGTTTCACATATTTCAATCCTGGCAGATCAGGAAACACACAGAAAATTGACTGCCAATCTACAATTTGTGAAACACAGACTAAGCCATTCTAGGGTCTTTCATTTCTGTTATGTGAACTAAACCATTTCTACTAGGTTGTTCAATAAACCACGGTAAAGAAAATATTGATTGGTGCAGAGATATGCAGGTTTGGGCTAGTAGGAAGGCTGTAGTTAGCCACTGGGCAAGCATCCTCCAGAAAGTAATGGGGAGCCGAGGGAAAAGCTAAATTTATAGCTTTTTTATGATTACATTTAAATAAAACAAAGATAACACAATTACCTACAATCATATTTACTAATCTTCTAAGTTCAAAACTGTAATATGGTGACAGCCTTTACAGATTCTGTAAGAGTTACTTCAAGGCTTCCAGGGCTGGTCCTCCAGCTTTCAGACCTGCAACCCATGTTTCGATCCATTCAGTACCCAACCGACATCCAGAATGCACTTCCAGAAGCTGTCTGGATGACTAGAAACTTAAATGCCTTTAAAAAATAGTAATCTCTAGTTATCAGTTTCTGGTGGGATGAACAAAATAATTGTCATTATTATTCACACTATAACAGACGACCAGCCCTTATATTAAATAATCAGAATATACACGTTAATGTTAGATTATTAATTCTGCCTGAGGCCAAGCATATATTCTCAATAGTGGGAAGGGTCTAATATAAGGTTTTAAGAAAGGTTTCCCCACTGAGAGCTACGCAATTAAGGAATTTCTTCCCTTACAACATAAATTGATTTGAAATCTAAATTTCTCTATAGTCCATATTTCAAATTTACAGGACATCTACATTAGAACATAATATGCTTGAGGTAAATTTACTGTAGCATATAATCTTCCCCAGTGACTTATATCCTGCTGACCTGGTTTTTGATATTCATGTTTAATTTAGAATTTAACAGCACTTTCTTAAACTTAAAATGATGTCATATATTTAGTCATTCATAATTAATGATATACTGAAAAACAAATCTGCATATTTTAACTACATTTTTCTTCAACTGTTACTTTTTTAATTTTTTTTTTACCTTCTTTAAAATGCCTATTAAAATACAAGTGTTTTAAATGTATGTATGTTTGTGTGTGTGTGCATGCGTGCGGACAGGAGGCACAATGGCTCAGTGGTATCAGCTGAGGAACTGACAGTTCGGGTTCAAGGTCTGAGTGACACACAACAGTGTGCTCCTGTCCCACCTAGCAGTTCAAAAGCGTGCAAATGCAAGCAGATTAATAGGTACCACTTTGGTGGGAAGGTGAAGTGTTTTCTCTGTGTCTGTGCGTGTGTGTGCATATTCTCCCTTCTTCCAGAAGAATAGGTAATAGGATTGTATAATGGGGTAAAAATTAATTTTTGAATTTTTTTTCAGTGAGGGGTTCTAAAAATATTTGCTTTTACATCAATTCAAATCTGCTGTTCTTTTTGTAATTGCACATTTAGCTTGGTAGGATAAAAACCACATCTGATCATATATCCCACAAATACTGTTAACTTTTGTCTTCTCAAAATTACAGCTTGTGCTATAAAAATTAAAGGTAGAATCTCCAATGGCTTTCAAGCTTTTCTTCTTCATGGCATACACCAGATTATCTGCAACCAGTTGAGCAGGTTTTTCTGTTTCTGAGCCTTTCTCTGGAGTGAAACGATAAAGGTATCTTCCACCCAGCTCACTGCACACAGAATAATTTTCTTTGATGGTACTGTGGAATTGCTGGTCTGAATTGTTTGTTTTCAGCCTAACTTTAGCTGCATCTATATGGCCATCGAAGAAGGTGCATTCTATTTCGCCTTTACACAGCTCATCCAATTCTTGATCTAGGGACTTTATAATCCTGACTTATTGTGGTCAGCTACAAGTCTCTTGTCTTCTTCAGTGATCAAGCCAGCATCTATGAAGGCAGGTGTGGTAATGGCAGCTGTGGCATGTAGACCAACACTGTATCTTATGCTCTGCATAGCGACATTTGTTATTTCTATAGTCTATTGTTTTCTGCCTTTTCTTTTGAAGTAGAGGGCACATGTGCTTGGTCCAAGGCCTCTTCCTAACTTCCATCACATTCCTCTTCATCTTCATCATCAATCGTCTGTCCTTCATTTTCATCGTGAGAGAATTACCTCATTGGTCAGTATCAAAATGTCTGAAATACTTCTCTGCTTATATTTGGCGAACCTTCGTCTCTCATTGTCTTGGCGCTTTTGTCTTTTGACTAGTTGTTTCTGTTCGGGCGCATCTGGCAAACCAATCTGGTGCGATCCAAAAGAACCAATCTTGTCTCTCTGACCTTTAACAAAACCAGGTTCCTTCAATGGTATCTTTGTCTCCTTAGGGCAGGTACAGTTAATTGCCCTTTTTTTTAGCAGCCAGCAAGGCAGCTAAATTCAGTACACAGAACAATTTGACACTTGCAGTTGAGGATGTCAAGCAGTTTGTCAAATTTCACCGTGAAAGTCTCTTTGGCATCTAGCTTTCCTCTACCAAGAGATATGTTTTTGGCTTGATTCCAGCTCTTTGGGATCTTGTTCGGGATTGTCACTCGTGAATTTACAACAGGGATCACAAAAGAACTGTTTGCTCATTCCCATTTTTAAGCACTTTTAGATATATGCCTCTTGCTATTTTGTTCTCTTAATAGTAGGCCCTATCTGAGAATGTCTCACAGTGTTGGGAGTTCAGAAGGCAGGCAACAAGTCTCTGCCAATCCCAATTAGGTTGCTTGAATGAGTGTATGTTTCCCATCCTATTCTTTTTTAAAAAGCCATTACAGGTCAGATATCACACACACTGGAAATATAGCCAGCAATATTAACTCATGAAATGAAACAAAATATTTACATTACATTTATATAGTTATTTACCAAGCACATCTAAATTATATTAAAGTAACCAAAATATCTTTATAATCCCCAAGTCAGGTCAGAACTTTTGACCATCCCTAATGTTTGAAAATTTAAAGTTTAAAAAGTTGACATGCCCTAGAAACAAAACAAAGTGTTAAGAAGTTATGATATTTATGTAATTACTTACCAAGCACATCTAAATTATATTAAAGTAACCAAAATATCTTTACAATCCCCAAGCATGTCACAATGTTTGAGCACCCCTAAAGTTTGGAAATCAAAAGTCAAAAAATTTGACATGCCCCAATAGGTATCCCTATGCCATGGCATTTCATTGTCAGCTAGCTCTGAAATTTTGCCTCAAATATACATGTCTGCATTTGCATGCTATTATATGCTTCACTTATAGAAAATCTAGCCAACTATTCATGAAAAGTAATCTTAAATTGTGACATAAGTATAGCGTTATGTATACTTATACTATACTTTAAGTATAGTTTTAATTGTTCTGTATTGCAACTGTTAAATAATAATTTTATATTTTCATTGTAGCCTTGAGCAATTTTGGGAACAAAGGCATTAAAAACTCTGAAGCAATGCCTCTACCAATAAATTGAATCAAAAATGTATATGAACGAATAGGTTGAACACTTCTCATAGTTATTTCATTTTCATAGATTATAAACAGTCTATTGTAAGCAACACGGCTGTTATTACATTTTGCTTCAGCCAATGAGCTACGAGTATTTTTCATTTTTTGTTCTCCTTTTTCATGATGGTAGATATACATCAAGGCAAAGTTTAAATTAAACAGAAATATTGAAAGAGAAAAGCAGTTGTGAAACAGCATCGTTCCATGTGAATTTTCTCACCATGTTATTCCCTCCATGTACCTACCCTATCCAGCTTTCAGAATTTCTAGTCAGCAACATTAATGGCTGACTGAAAATGCTGGAAACTTTAGATTTAAATCCAATTTTATTTTGAACAGTTCATCCTCCTATAGAAAAAAGAGCTTCCAGGGGTACCTGTTTAACCATTATACCAAATTTCTTCCTTTTTGGCAGTCATATCAACAAGATATCAGCAATTTAGCGCTAATCCAAATAACATCCTTGAAACCTAAATGCAAAACACTCTAAAAATGAAAATCTTAAAGAAATTGGTAAAATGCATGGATTAGGCTCAAAAACATATACTTTTTTTCCTTTAAAGAAATAATAAACAAAAGTTTAGATGTAATCATTTGCACACCTGAAGACTGAAAAAATCCCAGTTTTCTGTCCACCAACAAACTTTCTGTTACTAGCTTTATTTTCTGCTCATCACTGCTTTCCTCGCCCACCGAATTCAAATTTTCATTTTCAGCTTCGTTCGATGAGGATGATGTGGCGGTAGCACTGAGGGATGCGTCCTTGGCTTTTTTAAGCTCAGGTTTCCCTGTCTCTTTAGAGGCCCCTTTGCCACTTCCCTTCTTGGCCGCCCCTCTCTTTTTGTTCTTTTTCTCCTCATAGAAGTCTTCATCGGAAGAAGACAGCAACTCGCCTCTCGGGTTTTTTGAATCCCTCCTTTTAGGGTTTTTCTTCTTCTTCTCTTTAGCTTTCTCTCCCTTTTTATTTAAATTGTCTTCCAAAGGGTCACCGACTGTTTGGTTTGGGGGAGACTTCTCAGCATCTGAAACATTATCTTGGAGTTTCTTAGAAGTCCTCCCCCTCAAGTTCCTTCCTGTTTTTCCTTCAAGTGTTTTTTGGTTTTTACTGCTGCTTCCAGAAGCACTGCACCTTTCTTTTTCCGGAGAAGGCTTCTCAATTTCAGAACAGGAATCACTTTGCCTCCTTTCAGAGGTCTTTCTCTCATTTATGCTTTTTTCTTTTTTGGCTTTCTTGGTATCATCTGAGGACTCGCCACTTGGTTCTTGCTTTGGGGACTGTCCTGCGTCATCAGAAGATAAATCCTGTCGTTTCCCCCATGGTTTGCCCTGCTTGCCTGAAGTGCTGCTGTTGTCTTTTCTAGAGGAAACATTCTGTCTTCCTTTCAATGCCCTCTCTTTGCAATCGGGCCCCAGCTTTACTTTAACAGGGGCCTCTTTACCAGGTGTATCTTCCAAAGAACTGCCTGCCTTCTCCTTGTCTGAAATTAAGCACTCATCAACTTCACTGGGCAATTCATTTTGCTGCTTCTGGTTTGATTCTCTCGTTTCTTTTTTAGATAATTCCTCTTCCACAGAAACAGAATCTTCTTTCTTTGGCATTTCTTTTGTAGTTTTCTTTGTCTGCTCTGTTTTTGTTGTATTGTCTCTTTCCAATTCAGAATCATTATTAGAAGAATCTGAGGAGTTCTGGCGTTTCTTTTTAGCAGCACCTAAATCTTTATTTGAATTACCTTTCTTAGCATCAAACTCTGACCCAGAGGTAGAACTCTTCCTTTTTCGTTTTCCATTCTCCTCCTTCACCATTTGCTTCTTTAATGTATTTAGCGCATCCTTGGATATTTCATTGCTGCTATCAAGATCTGAAGAATTCTGGCTCATCATGGCTACCTCTTGGAGAACAGCAGGCATTTCATCAGAATCAGAACTCTGGTCTACAGCAAGCCCTTTGCTTGACTGAGGACTGCAAACAGTGCCGCTGGGAGAACTCGGCTTGTCTTTTTTCCCTTTGGACTGTGTGGTTTTTCTGCCATACTTTTCACCATATGGTTCATTGCTATCTTCCTCAGAATTAGAAGTTAAGGTATTCATGTCAGTTGGACGCCTTAAAGGTGTAGTTTTAACTCGTGGAGACCTTCTGAGATCTTCTACTTGTGAAAGCAAATCTTTTTCTGGTATACATTCAGAACTACAATTTTCATTTCCATCTTCTTTGTCCTCTTCCCTTTCCAGTTTTTCATCTGGATCCTCAGGTTTCACAGGAGAAGATAAGGAAACTGGTGTCAATTTTACAACCAATTCCTTCTTAACTTTTGGAGAATGTATCAACTTAGTCCCATTTTTACTATCTTTAGATTTATTAGTATTTCCTGAACCATGTTCTGTTCTGTTTACAGTACTCTGTCCACCTGCTTTCTGCACATCCATACAGGATTCAAAAATATCCTCAGGAACAGATGACGGAACAGAAACAATGTCCATATCTGTTGCTTCAGTGTTATCAGGTTTATATTGAAGGTCTTCACTTTTGCCAGACTTTTTATCTTTGCAGTTCAATTTTTTGTTTCCCATCCGTTCTGTTACTGGCACACTTTGATCACTGGAAGGCTCACTGACTTCCGATACAGTTTTAATTTCTTTGCATTCTTTTCCTTCTGTTCTTTTCATTTCACTGTTACTCGTTTTAATTTCTGATTCTTTCTCTTTGGTATGTTTCGGTTTGAATTTAACACCCAGAGTTTGAATCTCGAGGTCCAGATCTTCCTCCAAGGCTGCATGAGCCTTTCTAATGTCATTTAACACAGACTTAAAAGCCTTCAGCTGACGTATATGTACTGTTCTGTTTATTTCAGAATTTTCAGCTGCCTCCTTGAGAAACTTTATAAAACTAGCATTCATGTTAGTTGTGGTTTCAGCAAGCTTTTTTGTTTTTTTCAGCAGTACTTTTGGCACCATTAATGCTTTATAAGAATAAGTTACAGCACCAGAATATGGATGATCTAATTTCTTTTCTTCTCCATTACAATTTGAACTATTTTTCTTTGAAGAATATTTAAGGGAATTATCATACATTTTACTTTTATCACTGTCGACTCTGATTCTCTTCTTATTTTGCTGTAATAATTGTTCCAAATTTTCAAATACACTATCACAAGCAGTGACCAAGTCCAACAAAGGTTCTGGTTGACAGATGTAGCAATGCCATTGATTATTTTCATCCATTATAGTTGACAGCTCCTTTCGGCCTAAATTGCGCAATATACATTTTTTGCAGAATGCGTTATGGCAAAAGTCACAGCAAATTAAGTTTCCACCTTCAGCACACCATCTGAAATTAAAGTTTTAACATTTTTAAAATATGTTCCCATAAACATATGACAGAAGTTTTTCATTAATATACAACAGGATTGGGATACAAGGAGGTATATTATTTTCAAAAGATAAGACTATCACCATTTTCTATCAAGCCAAATTAGTATTAATCCAGATACCCTAGGGCTGTGGTGGCGAACCTATGGCATGCGTGCCACAGGTAGCACCCAAATCCATTTATGCTGGCACGCGAGCCGCAGGCAAATTTACTTCAGTGCGCATGCGCGCGCCTCACAACTGATTTTCAGCCTGTTTGAGGCCTTTTTCAGCTTCCCAGAGGCTTGAGGACAGCTTCTGCAGCCTTTGCAGGCTGAAAAATAAGCCCGTTTCGTCACTTCCTGTCATACTGGAAGTGATGAAATGGGCCTATTTTTCGGCCTACAAAGGCTGCAGAAGCTGTCCTCAAGCCTCTGGGAGGCCGAAAAAGGCCTCAAACCGGACCGAAAATCAGCTGGGAGGCACAGTGCAGGTAAGAGTGTGGCGGGGGGAAGGATTGCTCGCGCATGCGCAGGGGTTGGGGGGGCCGTGCGCATTGCCTTCTGGGTGCCGGCACAATTTTTGGCACAGGAGCCCAAAAAGATTAGCCACCACTGCCCAAGGACTAGTCAGTAATTCATGAGACTGAAAATTCAGAGCTGTTCTCAAACCATGAGTTCAATGGGACTGATGCAATTTGTCTCAGACTACAAAAACCTTGGCATCCCAAAACTCGTTAAGTTCCCCTCAATTGTTCTCCAGTTACTTCTGTATTTCGTTTGGACTAAATGCAAGTTAAATCATACAAATTATAAAAATAAAAGGCAAAGTGAATGAACTATTTCTCCTATTTAAAGATCAATTAACAACTTTTGTAGGAACATGTTTTTACTAAATCTAATACAGCAAATCCATATAGGCATTATTAACAAACCTATTATTAACAAAATTCTATGTGGGTAAGTAATTAGTTGCATTATTCTCCAAAGAAGATGAAGCATTTTACTTTCTGAACACTTTAAACAATGCAAGGGAAGTTCTATTCAGTTTATTAGGTTTAATTAAATGATGTCAATTTTATACACTTACCTACACTGTTCGTCCATCCCATCTGCATCACGGCTGATATCGTCACTCATATAATATTTGAAGCAAGTCTATCAAGAAAAAGCACTTTTTTTCAGAAAGCTGAATTAAATTGTTGGGTTATATTGCTTAACAGTATTCTTACTTATGTATAGACGAATTTGCTTTTTTAGAATACAGAGAAGTCTTTTTGTTGTTGTTTATTTCATCATGGCAATCAAACATAAAACACAAATTTTAGTCCAAAGTAATTTACAATATTATTTCTCCACTAACACTAGGCAGAACTTAGCTGAAACTGAGTCAAGCTTTTTTATTAATGAAATGTATACACTGCTTCAGTCAAATTGGTCTCTAGTTTACATCCCCATCCTGCCATACTATACAGAGTACGTACCAAAGTTATATTCCAATTTATTATTTAAAATTACATTGAATATTTGAATTATCATTTTCTTCTAAACACTTTTTTACTCATTTGATGCATGACCTTTGAACATTCCTAAATATAGAAGACCTTGCTGGCTGCCCCCCCCCCCCTTTTTTTTCTCCAAAAGTCTTGAGATCAGTTTCTTTTAAATATAGGAGGCAGTGGATAGTATTCTAATAAATTTTTACAAGTAACTAGGTCTTGTACTACAGTACTGAATTTTGAATTAGCGTTGAGTCCTGCCCAAGTAGCTTTTTAAAAAGTAGGGATACTGCAGGGAAACTAGAAAGCTATTACCTAAGAAAGTTCTGAAAAGACTTATTTGGAAGTAAAGGCTTCTTTTTATTTTTAACCACCAATTTATCTGGAACCATAAATCTCTGGCCCTACCCCATGAAAGGTATGTTCCAGATATCTGTAGGAGAAATATGGGTAAAACATTTTGGGGGGAAAAAATGGAACATGGGTTCTCCCTTTCTGAATGCATCAGATCTCTTTTGACCAGAGATGGAAAAGGCTTCAGTAACTGCCTAGATCAGGGGTGTCCAACCTTGGCAACTTTAAGACTTGTGGACTTCAACTTCCAGAATTCCTCAGCCAGCTTTGCTGGCTGAGGAATTCTGGGAGTTGAAGTCCACAAGTCTTAAAGTTGCCACGGTTGGACACCCCTGGCCTAGATGCTGCATATAACTATTTATATTTTCTTGTTTCAAAAGTTATTTTTGTCTTATTCCAAAATCTGTACCTTCGTGAGACAAGTTTAAAAAGATGATGCCGCAGAAGACAAAAATCAGTGCATGAGTGCATACACACAAAAAGTGGATTTTCAATAAAATTATCTTCAGCCTATTGGTACATAAATGAGAATGCCACTGCATAGAGAGAGATAGAGAGAATATATAGATATATATACCTTACATATAAGAACTTTCAATGTTGGATGTCTGTAGATAGAATCTTTTTGAAAATGATTCACCTGCTGACCACAAGCTGTACAGCTAACAATTCCATGAAGCCCTTCCTCTATGAGAGAGAGAGAGAGAGAGAGAGAGAGAGAGAGAGAGAGAGAGAGAGAGAGAATGAGAATCTGTTAGAAGCTTTACATTTTTTCTGTAAATTATTATTTTAATACATTTTATCCAGTATAATTTTGAAAAGAGATTCTTCATGTAAATGGCACAATTTGTGTCACATTATCAAGCACATGTGGAAGACGCTAAATTGGAGATTATTACAAGGCATGTAGAAAAATACTATTAAACAAAAAATGTGTTAAAAGATAAAAATTATTAGCTTCCATTTCAACACATTCACCTACACTTAAGTTAACATTTTTATAATTGTAATTCAGTATAATATGAATGTATTTCTAAGTAGAGATTAACCATATAATATCTTTTAAATTATATATATTAATAATAAAAAGATAAACATTTTAAAAATTTACATATAAATGCTATATGACTTATAAAGACAACAGGGTTAACACGCTTTTAAGGCAGATCCCAAACTGAACAAAAATAAGAAGTTTCAACTTCTAAGTAAGAATGCATTTCACATTTTCAAAATAACATTTATATATCAAAATTTCAAGCCTACATAGTTCTCCTGATTTGCCTGATTTCTATTTGCATGGGAATTATGCTTCCGTCTCACAATTGGTTTTGTAATTCACAAAACATTTCTAATTCATCAAGTCAGTCCATACACAACTTTCTCAGGTTGCAGATTCTACACACATAGTGAGCTACATTATAGGACATAAGAAAGATTTATGGCAGGTGGTTCTTCCTTTAAGTGGCAAGAGCAAACAATTAATGAGCAACTATGCTCATTAATTTCGCACATCAGATATACAGAAAATGCTTCTCCAAGAAACATTTTGCACACCATTAAAATCTTCTATATGGCATGAATAAGAAACTACATCATCCAATACACACTTCCTAACAGCAATGTAAGAGATTTATTGAATAGTCATAAGACCTTATCAGTAACATAACATAAATCTATAACAAGACAAAATACAGGTAAGTTAGATATATAAGAATACAGTAATAAAAACATATGTGGAAAACCAGGGAGTCAAAAATCGGATAATAAATCACCCTTGCAGGATACACCAATTTGTTCAATGCGTTGGGTTCTTAGGACCGCTGCCTTGATTATAAACTTAGCAGTCCTACGGACAATGTGTACATTAGAGGCCCGGAGGAAATATAACAATCTATGGTTTGATTCCCAATGGGCTGTTCGTAGAAATGATAAATATTTATCATTAGAAATAAATATTAGTTAGATAAATCCAGTTAGAAATGATAAATATTTAAGCCTAATGGGGCCATATATTTGGCAGTTGAACAAGATGTGGGAAATATCTTCAATGGCAGATGAGGCAGGTTCTCTCGTGGTATGGTACATGGTGGAAGCGCCCATGTCTGGACATGGAATCCAGTAACACTTTCAGATCATATACTCCTAAGAGCAATTAGCTCTCTAAAAATTCATTAAGCTGTTGATAAAATATTTCTCTTTTCTTCAATAGCTTTTTCCTAACCAACACCTGATACATTAAGTTTCTGCACACTGAGATTTCTTTTGGGTTTTAAAATGATACAAAATGAGAGAGGTGGACAGAGACAGGATTTTTTTTTTAACTTGAGCTAGTTTGGAGGAACTGGGTGATTTTGCTTTTAGATTATTTTAGATTATCTTTTTTATGTTCCTCTCATCTCAAAATGTAAAGGAAGTATGATGCTGATTTCTAGCAGCTGTGAACAGCAGGGCAGCTGGTGCCACAGGAAAAAAGAGTTTGTGGTCCTCTTATATCTCTGTGGTATCAGATTGCCCACCCTAACTCCCAAGTGTCAGTCAGCAATACAATTACTGTAATTCTTCTTAAGCTATCTTGCCTATTATACTATTACTGTTAATCTTCTCATCATTCCTTATCACCCATCCCCTCCCACTTGTGACTGTATGACTGTAACTTTGTCGCTTTATGTTAACTGTTTCCTAGTATGATTTGATTGCTTACTGTACCCTATGACTATCATCAAGTGTTGTACCTGATGATTCTTGACTCTTGACAAATGTATCTTTTCTTTTATGTACACTGAGAGCAAGGCAAATTCCTTGTTTGTTCAATCACACTTGACCAATAAAGAATTCTATTACTAATGCTATTAGGAAACCAGAAGGCACTGAAAACCAACATACAATATATGCACAAAGTAATGACTAATGTGGAACATTTTAAACATAGAGTTTAACATAATTCGTAACGCTTTACCTCCTCGCTTCTTCTGAGCTTCTGGTTTTAGTTTAGCAGTATTTCTGTTCCTAAATTCAGGTCCTTTAAAGTCATCTTTGTCTTCATTAAGTACTGGCTCTGGTTGTACTACAACAGTTCCTAAGAAAATTACAGTTAAACATTACAATAAATGTTATGAAATCAGAACTCCAACATTCAAATTTAATCATGTATTCATACAGTTATTGGACTCTGAGGATTAGCTACATTATCTAACCTTTGTGTGACTTTGAAGGGCTATAATTCCAAAGGGTTTTTAAAAAAAACCTTCAAAAGAAGGCTTTGCCAATCCTATTTTGGCAGACTTTTTCAATTCTCCTGGTATTTTTATGGGGTGCCAATGTCTCATCCACTTTTTGTGAATCATATCTAATATTAATTGTATATGATATGACAGCATAAGCTGAAATATTCCTGGGTATATAACCTCTCTGCCTTTTGTCCTGCTTTGAATTAGGTTCACTTACTTCATCTTTCCTACATGTACATTCACACTAATGCAGGGCACAAATAGTATCACAGTATCATGGTATTAGATAATGATTAGCATTATGTATTTTTGACAAAATACTGACATCAATATATTGATTATATAGTTCACTAATAAATGTGGTAATACATGATTTAACATATAGACATAGGTACTCAAATATAGTGCAATATACAATTATACATTATCTGCAACATCCAGTGTTTCTATACTTCAGTATACCAACATTTGAGTTATATTACCATTTATTTACCACAGACCAAGTGACAGAATTTAAAAATATAGCACACCATTAATACATGCATTAACATGTATTAATGCTTATAACATGTATTAGTACTTATATAAAAAAAAGGAAACCTTATAAAGTTAACTATACACACACAAACACACAATACACCAATTTCTGTAAGCTAAGGCTTTAAATAAAGCTTTTGCTACTGCCTTCGAAACACCTGGGTGTTGGTTATTTAATAAGAATACATTAATCCCCCACCAGGAGTGGAGTGAATGAAAGTCAAGAGAGGTATATTAACTCTGATTGCCAATGCAAGTACAGTGGGCACTTTAAAAGGATGCTTACATGATAGATTATACTAAAGAAATTATACCACTTTTTAAAAGGTATTTTAAATCCCTTTTTCAATAGTATTCAATTATCTAATTGAATGTAAGCTACATGTTCCCTCTATTCAACTCTCCCTGTTGTTTTCTATACAGATATACTATTGAATGATTTCTACATGTGGAAGATCTATGCATTATTTCCCTGATACAGGTACTCAATGATTTATCTAATTAAAATTCTTTAGCTGTAGCTTCCCAAATAGCAGATTCTCTTTCAATTTATCCATTATGTGCCTCCAATTTGTTTGCTATTCTGATCACCTCTAGCCAGATACTTTCCCTCAGGCCAAACCCCCTCACAGGCTATTGTTGTGGGAAAACTGAGCGGCAGAAGTATAGGTCAGGGGTCCCCAAGGCCATAGCCCATTTCCAGGCCATGAGCGGTCCCGGAAGTGGGGGCATATCCCCACTTGCACAAGTGGCTCCAGGAAACCATTGCTTCCTCACCCTTGCTGTCCACAAAGCCGGAAAAAGGTTGGAGACCTCTGGTATAAGTAGACTTCAACTTACAATTGGTTGCTTAGCAACCATTCAAAGTTACAGTAGAATCCCCCCACCCCTCCCAAAAAGCTACTGATATCTCAGTCTGAAGCTGAACTGCTCCACTTATCTCACTCCATCCCACCACCAATTGGATCCCCACAGGCTTTAGGCCTGCTTCTCACCCCGCTGGGCCCCACACCCGAATAACCCAATTGCTCTTGCTTACGTAATCCTGCTTGCTTTAAAAAGTGAAATGTTAGAAATATTTTTTTAATGGCTCCAAAACTTTAATTTATGTTACACTTGTATACAATTTGTTGTCATATACCTTTAAATTAATGAACTGCTTATCCCTGTTCTTTATATCCTGAAGTCAACTGCTGCTACTTGAACGAGAATCCATTATTTTTTATCAGTGGCAGCCAGCATTTTCAAAATGGAAGAGAAAGGAAAGAATAGACTAACAAAACATTCTAATATTGTTTATTTAGTGACTAACAAAATATTCTAATATTGACAGTACTTCAGAACTAACAGATTAATTACCTTTTGGCAAACTTTTCATATCAACTTCATTTTCCGAGTTTTCATTTGAAATATCTTGAGTAATGGTTTCATCTAAAGTTTGTTCTTCATCTGAGCCAACATATTTCGTTACAACTGTGGGTTTTCTGAATGAGCAGCAAAGACAAATATTAATTATGTCCTGTGTACATATTTAACAAAATTACAGAATTTTACAAATTCCAATTTTGCACAGCATTACAGCCTGAAATTATATTTTTATGCAAGGAATCTAACAGAGTTTATGAAGAATTTTAAAAAATCAACTAAAAGAATTATAATTGATAATAATATATAATTCCACATAATCAATGAGAATAGAGCTGGAAGGGACCTTGGAGGTCTTCTAGTCCAGCCCCCTGCTCAAGCAGGAGACCCTAGACCATCTCAGACAAGTGGCTGTCCACTCTCTTTTTAGAAACTTCCAGTGATGGGGCACCCACAACTTCTGAAGGCAAAGCTATTCCACTGGTTAATTGTTCTCACTGTTAGGAAGTTTCTTCTTAATTCCAGGTTGCTTCTCCCCTTGATTAGTTTCCATCCGTTGCTTCTGCCTTCAGGGGCTTTGGAAAATAAACTGAGCCCCTCCTCTTTGTGGCAGACTCTCAAATACTGGAATACTTCTATCATGTCCCCACCATTAGCCAAACCCAAATCCTGCAGCCGTTCTTCATGTTTTAGTCTCCAGGCCTTTAATCATCTTAGTTTCTCTTCTTTGTATTTTTTCAAAATCTCAACATCTTTTTTGTAATCAAAATTGGATTGCAGTCAATTCTGTGGATTTTAGATCTCAGAATATTTGTATTCAATGAGTAAATTAATATTATGAATTATTTTTAAAAGTGCAAGAAAATATACTCCATCAAGTGCCCCATAATATTTCTGTTAAATCACCTCTGAACATAATTATCAATTCTTATAGCCAATCTCCTGATTCAGAGAAGAAGGCAAATTAAAAATTTAAAAACACACCAACTAACCTTTTGGAGCGTGATGATCCTAATGATTTGGATCTCTCAGAAGAGCTACTACCCTATATATGAAAAAACGCAAACCTCTTATACAAAATGAAAATAGCATTATTCCTCTGTCTGTGCATATCATCTCAGATATTACTTTGAATGCAAATTACTTCTGTTTTTCAATCCTTAAGACATCATAAAAAGTTCAGCTACAAATATATTATTCATTACTATATAAAGAAATGCTTCAATTACTGGATGTGTTAAAAAAAACTTGGAAAGGAAAAAATATGTGTACGTAAATATTTGCCTTGAACAGGCAAAAATATTCATAAATAATAAATAAATGTGTCTAATTTGTATGCTGCATGTTACCATAGAATCATTGTATAAATAAGCAAAACCATGGGTGAAATTATTGAAAATAATCCTGCTTTCTGTTACAAAGAAAATGAATTATGTGTCAAAATAAATCTTTCTCACAAGAATGTATCAACAAACCAAATATTAGCAGTCCCCGACTGGATGGGGATCTTGGTCACTAAGTAATAGAGACATAAAGCGCAATGTCATGTGATCACACCAACTTAGGATGGCAGGTCCAGTGGTCCCTGTGGTTGTCTTTAGGCAAATCCCAGACAGTCGCAGCATCACCACTGATTCTGCTTATCAGAAAAAGCTGGCAGTGAAATGGGCGTTGGTTAGAAGTTACCGTGAACGCCCTTTCTATCTATGCTGCGAGAGAGCCCAGGATGGGTTGACTCCTTCCTATGACGTCATAGCTGAGTCTGTACTAAGATATAAAAGCCAGCCCCCGGGAGAGACCCCAGCTTTGGCGAAGATACTTGACAGACTGAAAGGTGTCTCTGAAAGCCCAAAATAAATACAGAAATATGTCTTACCCTCTCCGGATGAATCAAGGGAGGGGTTGGGCTCTCTCGCAGCATAGGTAGAAAGGGCGTTCATGGTAACTTCTACCAACGCCCATTCTCCTCCATGCTGCATCAAGAGCCCAGGATGGGACATACCAAAGCTTGCATGTCCACGGGCGGGTCCTCATCTGGCTCATCACACCGACTGTGGAACCACTCGTTGAAGCACCCGTCTGCCGAAGGCTGCAGTCGCCAAGGCAAAAGCATCCAGACGGTAGTGTCTGATGAAAGGAGACGGGGATGTCCACGTGGCCGCACGACAAATCTCCTCCAAGGATGCTTGGGTCACCTAGGCAGCAGAAGTGGCCGCGCTTCTGGTAGAGTGTGCCATCAGACCTCGGGGAACCGGAAGGGCTGCAGCTTCGTAGGCCTGCTCAATGCAAGACCTGACCCACCTGCTAACAGTAGGAGAAGAGGCCTTGTGCCCCAAGTGAGAAGGGAAAAAGGAAACAAACATGGCTTCCGACTTCCTGAAGGAGGAAGTGCGCTTAATGTATATTCTAAGAGCCCTTCTTACGTCTAGCGTGTGCCACTGCCACTCTAAGTCATGGTGTGGGAGAGGACAGAAGTCAGGCAAAACAATGTCCTGGGGCCTGTGAAACCAGGTGTTAACCTTCAAAATAAATGAGGGGTCCAGACGAAGAACAACCCTATCATCGTGAAAGGAACAAAGGTTCTGTCTGATGGAAAGAGCAGCAAGCTCGGAAACCCTCCTGGCAGAAGTGATGGCAACAAGGAACACTATCTTCAGAGTCAGGAAACGGAGACACTGTTCTAAGGGGTTCAAAGGGGGGCTTTGTAAGGGCATTAAGGACCAAATGAAGGATACCTGTGAACCACCGGAGGGTGCAGGTTGGAAGCCCCTTTCAAAAACCTCCTGACTGAAGTGTGATGGGATAAGGAAGGAAGCGAACCCCATGAAAGAACTGAGGAGAGAGCCACAACCTGCCTGCGTAAGGTGTTGAGGGCCAAACCTTTCTCCAGCCCATTCTGAAGAAAGCTAAGAACTTCTGCCAACTGGGCTGAAGCAGGAGAAAGACTCTCCCTGAGGCACCATCAGGAAAAGGCCTTCCAGGTGGCATCATAGATGCAACTTGTAGGTTTGCGAGACGCCAGGATAGTGAGGATGACCCTTTCTGGAAGATCAGCCTCCTCTAGCCGCTGCCGCTCAAGTGCCACACGGTCAGCTTGAACCACTGGGGCTCTGGGTGAAGCAGGGCCCCCTGGTGAAGGGAGATTAGATGGGCAGGGATACTCCAAGGAGAAGCCACCGATAAGTTGACCAGGTCCGCAAACCAGGGCCTCCTTGGCCAATAGGGTGCCAGGAGGAGGAGCGCCGCACGTTCCTCCAACATCTTCCGAATTACTGCCGGAATGATGGGAAGCGGGGGAAAGGCGTAGAGGAGACCCTTGGGCCATCTGCATCGAAGAGCATTGGTCCCCTCCGCTCCCTGGCAAGGAAACCTGGTGAAGAATCTGGTGACTTGGGCGTTTTGAGGAGTGGAGAAAAGATCCACCTCTGGTGTTCCGAATCTGAGGGAAAGATCCCTGAATAGAGATGGAGGAATGGACCATTCTGCCTGGTCGACTAGGCTCCTGCTAAGCCAGTCGGCCTAGGAGTTGCCGACCCTGGAGATGTGGTCCACCGAGATTGATAACAGGTGTTTCTCTGCCCATTACCCTAACCGTAGAGCCTCTCTCATGAGGGCTTTGGACCTCGTCCCCCATTGCCGGTTGACATGAGCCTTTGTGGCTGTGTTGTCCGTAAGGACTAGAACATGAGAGCCGGTCACTGAGTGCCTGAAATGCTTGAGAGCCAGAAAAATAGCTCTGCGCTCTAGCCAATTTATGGGAAGGGTCTGTTCCGATCTGGACCAAACGCCCTGAGCCATCTGGCCCTGCATATGGAAACCCCAACCCAGGAGGCTGGCATCAGTGGTTATCACTAGCCTGTCTGGGTCCCTGAACAGGAGTCCCCTCCAGATAGATGGGGAATGCCACCAATTGAGAGATCTCCGGATTTGTGGCGGGAGTGGGACCTTGATGGATGAGTGGCTGGTTCCTGCTCGTTGGTAGGGAAGCAGGAACCATTGGAGGGCTCGGGAGTGGAGCCGAGCCCACGGGACGATGCCAATACAGGAGACCATCTTCCCCAGATGTTTGGACAGCAGCGACAGGGGGACAATTTGATGTTGCTGGATCTGGCTGATGATCTCTGCAAGGCTCTTTCCACGAGCTGGGGACAGGAAAACCTGGCACGACATGGTATCAATGACTGCTCCCAAGTGTTGCAATTTGGTTGTAGGAGAAAGCTGGTTCTTTTTGGTGTTGATGGAAAATCCATGGCTCTGGAGACATGACAGGGTAATTTGCAGATCCCGATGGGCCACAAGGATAGAAGAGGAAAGAATCAAAATCTCATCCAAGTAGCATTGGATCCTCACTGGAATAGAATGCAGAGATGCCACCAATGCTGCCAGAACCTTTGTGAAGACCCTTGGAGCCGATGAGAGGCCGAAGGGAAGTGCTCGATACTGGTAATGGGTATTCTGATAACAGAAATGGAGAAACTGGCGATGATGAGGCCAAATTGGGATGTGGAGGTAAGCCTCAGTGAAATCAATGGAAGAGAGGAGGTCGCCCTCCCGAACGCTTTCTAAAATAGAATGCAGTCTGCATTTTAAATCGCCTGTATTTTACAAATTGGTTGAGAAATTTTAGATCAGGATGGCTCGCCACCCGAGGCTTTGGGAACGATGAAAAGGTGAGAGCAAAGCCCACGTCCCCGTTGAGACGGGGGAACAGGTTGAATAGCCCTGATTTCAAGAAGGTGCTGAATGGCCTGATTCATGAGGGCTTGCCTGGAAATGTCCCGAGACACAGGACAGATCAAAAAAAAATTGGGGTGGGGTGGGGTTAGGAAGTCCAATTGTAACCCTGACCTAATAGTGCTGAGCACCCAGGCGTCCGTCGTTGACTCCTCCCATTTGGAGGCAAAGAAGGCTAGGCGACCTCCGATGAGTGGGGAGAACAAGAGATTACTTAGAGCGACGGAAGGAATGACCCCCTCCCCCCCCAAAAGGGCCGTTTACCAGCAGAAGGTTGTTGCCTGCCAGATGTTTCCACCCGTTGGTCTTGGCGTTGGGAGTATGGCCTGTGAGAGCGGGGGAAGCGAGATGAGGTCTCTGCTCGGAAGGCAGGAGGGCAATAAGGAGCAGGGTGATAGTCGGCTTTCTTCCCAGAGGAAGAGAGAATTTTACGTTTATCTCTGGTTTCGATGAGATAAGGTTCCAGAGCATCACCAAAAAGCTTATCGCCTGTGAAAGGAACTGAAGCCAGCTTCCATTTTTGGCGTGACTCCGCCTGCCAATTTCGGAGCCATAAAAGTCTTCTTGCTGCTACAGAAGATGCCATGGCCTTGGATGCAAATTTGGCGGAATTGAGAGTGGCATCCGCAGTGAATTCTGCCGCTGCAAATAATTTTATTAAGGTCTTGGTGAGGCCAGAAGCAGGCAATCTATTCTGGATTTGGCGCAGCCACCGTATGGATGCCCTGGTGAAGAAGGATGCTGCTGTTGAAGACCGAATAGCCCAAGCAGCAGCCTGGTGATTGCGCTTGAGGGTCTGTTCGGAACGTTTATCATCCGGTTTCAGGATATCTTCTGGCTCCGTGGGAGTGCCAGAAGATGAGAACGAGGCCAGAACCAGAATGTCAACAGAAGGCACTGCCAGGTCATTGTCCAGAGCTACGCTGACATTGTAGAAACGCTTATCTAGAGAAGATGGGCGAGGACCTGCCGAAGGAGAAGCGCACTGTTCCTTGACCATGTCCAGGAACAAAATGGGAGAAGGCAAAACCTCTGCATGCACTACAGGCTTGGAGAAGAGCGAATCCCCTTGGCTAGAGGGATTTCCTTGTGGCTCGGGAGCCACTTCCTCTGGCGACAGCTTGGCAGTGACCAAGGCCTTGCTGAGTAATGGTCTGAAGAGAGTAGGTTTGAAGACCAATGCAGAGGATGTCTGTTCTGGGTGACAATCCTCTTTCTCTGAAAGATTTTAGTCAAATATCTCACCCACTTCACACTCTGAATGAGAGGAGTAACTGTGTTACATGGTGAAGGCCTTCCTTCCTCATCAACCTCCTCCCATTCTGGTAGAGAAGAATGGACCCTGAGGTCCTGAGGCCTGTGTAAATCAGGATGATGAGGCAAGGAACTTATAGATTGAGAAGGGAGAAGGGCCTGAACCCTTTCCAGAGGTTGAAGAATTTGCTTGAAGCCTTCAACCAATCCCTGCCTAATGGCTGATGAGACTACATCTTGGATATCCCTTGGTCTATGCTCAAAGGTACAGGCAGAAGGCCGAAGGCCCACTGCTGTGGGAGTGAAGGTGGCTTCAGGCCTAGATTGAGGAGAGGTTCAAGGCCTGGAGGAAGGGGGAGGAGCATAGGGCACAGAAGCCTGTTGGAAATAAGGCCCAGATCTGCTTAAATCCTGAGGATCTGACTGTACAGCAAGAGCCTCAGGAGACCAGGATGGAGGATGGAAAGGCTCATAGATAACTTCTCCTCCCCTGGGAGGGCTTGGTTGGGGCCCACGAGTATCACCTGAAACATGCTGTAGTTGCACTCCCTTCTGTTGAATAGTTCTGTTGAACTGCCTCTCTAGAGCTGTATGTCTGCGCTTCTCTGCCCTCAATTCAGCCTGAGCTGCCTTCTTAGGGGCTAGAGCCTTAGCTTTGATTTTAGCAGCCACCTCCCTCTGGACTGATTGGGTGCGTTGCCTACGTCTTTTTCTCCTATTGGGCTTAAGAGACTGTTCCACTGGGGGGGGAAAGCTCTGCCAGAGCCTTATCTTGCTCCATTTGTAAAATAAAGGCTCTTGCGTTGGAAAGAAGCTGTTTAGAAATTTTTCTTTTAAGCCCCTTAGGGTATAAATGGCCCCTGGGCTTACAAAATGGCCGCTCACCTCGTGGTGGAAGGCTTGAATCCAAGATGGCTGCTGACTATAGGAAAACAGGCTCCAAGATTGAAGAATCGCTCCTTAGGCTATAGAGAGCCCCGAGCGAAGTCAGCAAGGGAAAAACACAGCAACCAGCTACACGATCAGCTGGCTTGAGCTCTTATCAGTTTGCCGATGTGTTTACGATCCCTCCAAACTGCAGGCGTGGGGGAGGTCTGCAGACGCTGCCCAGCTTGCCTGCACAGAGCTCTGTAAAGCTGCTCCCAACTTGCAGGAGAGAGAGAGAAAGAGCCCTGCTCTCTGGAAGAGCAGCTGCCCAGATCCCTGGGAGCTGCTTGAAGAGAGGAAAAAAGTACTGAAGGTGATTGCTATCTAACAGAACGCTTTCAGAGACACAGCTACTGCCTGAAAGGAGCTGAGTCAAAAGCTGGGGTCTCTCCCGGGGGCTGGCTTTTATATCTTAGTACAGACTCAGCTATGACATCATAGGAAGGAGTCAACCCATCCTGGGCTCTCGATGCAGCATGGAGGAGAACCGCAAATGGTGATTGCGGGCCTGCAAGGTGCTGCCACAGACACACCTGAGAGTTGCAATACCTCTCATTCAGCACCATCAGGATTTCAAATGGTTACTGAAAGAGTAGACATTCCACAAGGACTACATGTAGTGCTTATATCCACATTCAGCTAGAATAGTTTCGCACATCGAGTGGCTGAAAAGCCTAGCATACCCACAAGAAATGTATGTTTTATTTGGGAAAGGGAGTGCCTAACTGCTGTTATGACTCCCTTGAATGTCTCTGCACCCTACGCCTGTCAAGACAGAGTGTTCAAAACACAGGCACATTTTTAGGATACTAAAGTCCTTGGAAAATGGAACTACCTATTGTATGTACATGAAGTATAAAACCAGAAGGTAACAATTTTGTACTGCCAACGTAGGTGGAGCAGATCTCAAAGAGACAGTCTTCCTGAACATGATACAGCAGCATAATAGAGTTATGGTATTGGAATCCAAGTGGGAAGGCTGAGGTTCCAGGCCATCCTCAACTACAGGGCCACTCACTCACTCTCTCTCAACTCAACTTACCTCACTGTCAGCTCCCATATACTTCTGTTGGGACACTGGCATTCTGGCGGGAGTGTGGAGGCTTGGAGGGATCTCTATCTGAAATTTCTTTTTGTTGTGAAACAGAAACACTGTTGTGCTGTGAGTTTCTGTTTCCTACATTGCTGTGCTGTGGGCGGGGTTTTTGTTTGCTGTTTCTAAGTGAGAAAATTTATTTCCTGCCTAGACCTCTTGTTATCACAAGCCTTTCAATAAAAGAAAAATACTAGGAAAAACAGGAAAAATAAGTTTTGCTATCCTTGCAAGTTTATTCACGTAGCTGTTTTTAAATATATAGATATATAGAAACACACACACACACATATACATACATACATATACATATATATAAAAAGAAATGCAAGCACGCAAAGAAGGGGCGCTTCTTTGAAGTTAGAAGTTAAGCAGGATCAAGACTAGTTAGTACGTCAGGGGCAACTAGACTAGATTGGGAAGTTGAAAAAATAACTGAACAAGAATATGGCAAACCACGTCCATAATGGTGCCAAACAAACTACATGATTGCATCCACAAAGTCATCAGGAGTTCAAAGACAGCTTGATTGGAAAGACACTCTGGTATACATAGTGTTAGAGTACTTCACAAATGATTGCTTGAGAAAAATTGTTTTGGGCATCTTACAATAACAATCCCTCCCTAAACTTTTGAAGGTTACCAAGTTTACCTGAAAACTAAGGTGCATCTTTTCATGTTTCAATAGTAATAAATAGAAATGCACAATGTTTAACATTTGAAATGTCCCATTTCAATCATTCATAAGTGTTTCATGCTTAAAGCAAAAATGGACAAAAAAAAACTGTTTTGTATTTAAGGTGAGCTATTTAGTACTTAGAATGAGGCGTTTAAAACCTAAAAGAAATGTTTGGGATTCAAAACAACTCAAATTCAAAGCAATCTGTACACATCTAATAAAAGTGACTTGAAAGCTGAATTATCAAATAATTTCCCCTGTATTATTATATCAATATTATATTATTATTATATCAATTACTATCTTCTATTCTTACCTCTTCTTTGTTGTTTTCCACTGGGGCTGGAATATTTCCAGGCATACTGTCACTATCTACAAGAAACATACAAACGTGTCATAGCAACATTTAAAAAACTATAATAACTGTTCAAAATATTCAACCTTATATTTATGAGGCTATTCACTATTACACCATGTTGATGGGAGAGGTGCTCAATGTATAAAGCCTTGCAGAAGAGGGAGGGGCAAGGAACACCAGACTTGCACTGTCCACCACCTAACACCCCACTAGGTGGTCTAGGGGGCGGGGGAGGGCAGGGATTCAAAATGTAGAACAACTAACATGACTACCAATAGAAGAAAATATTTGTAACTCAGGGTTGAACTGTAGGGTTCTTGATGCTCTCTGAGCTCACTTGCAAACATTTCATTACCAAACTAGGTAACATCATCAGTGCTAGAAAGAAGTAGGCTTTGCTCTTATTTTTATATACTGGTCAAGTCTGTCTATGTGTTGTGAAATTAAGTTTTATGTCTTCTGTCTGCTAGTTGGTGTTCATGGATGCACTCCACCAGTCTTCTACCACTTTGTCCTACAATAGTGTCTGTTCCTTACACTGCATGTTGTAGATGACTCTTATATTTTCATCTGGGCCTGCTGGATCTTCCAACAAAATGGATACCCATATAATTTTATCAAAAAGTGCCTAATTACTCAACCTACCATAACTCAACCAACACAAGCTTTGAAAAGGATGTCATGCATCAAAAACATCTCAAAAACCACCAACACTCTATTTACATGGCATCAACCATACAAACCAAAGCTCTCCAAAACAGCCTAAATAAACCAAAAGATCGAGCAGCCCCAGAAAAAACAGGAGTCATCTACAACAGCGGTTGCCAACCAGTGGGCTAGGGACCACTGGTGGTCCACAAGAAAATTTTGGTGGTCCGCAGACAAATGTCACCCCCAAAGCAATTAATCCAGGCTGCACGGGAACACAAGGCTGCGCTGCCCACGTGGCCTGCGGGAACACAAGGCTTGTGTCATTTACACTGCGAACAACACGAGGTAGTGAGGGGAGGGGGGAAAGGGTGGAGGGGGGCAACTTGCCCCACTCTCCCAGCTATCAGGCTGCTTCTTTCCACTTCTTTTTCTGCTTTTGGATGCATGCAAGGAAAGCAGCAAAAGTCTTTCTTTCTCTCCCCCAAACTCCACTAGAAATGAGTCTTTGGGACCCTGCAAGGCCTCCTGCTCCAAGAGCCTGCGCTGGCGCGACAAGTCTCTCAAAGATTCATTTCTGGCGGAATTTGGGGGAGAGAAAGACTTCTTCTGCTGCTTCTGCTGCTTTCCTTGCATGAAGCCAAAAGTCTCTCTCTCTTCCCCCCCACCCCCGAGAATGGAGCTGGAGACGGTATCCTGTGATCGATCCCACATAAAGAATGATTGATCGGTAGGAAAACGGGGTGGGGGAATTTTCCTGCAGACTTTTTGGGGGGATTTTCCCAAGGTCTCTGGGATTTAAAATTATGAGTTTGGTGGTCCCTGAGGTCCAAAAGGTGGGCAACCCCAATCTACAATATACAGTATAAACACTGTAAAAACTATAACCCCACTCTCCCTTCTAGCACTGATTATGTTACCTAGTTTGGTAATGAAATGTCTGCAAAAAACTCACCAAGCACAATCAACATAATTACATTTTATTACAACAGGATTCAAAATGTTGGCTGATCTAGGTGCAAAAATAAATTTCTTGCTGGTATGAAACAAAAATGTTTCCCCTTCTGTGCCACCTTCTTTTTGATATTACATGAATTTTAAAATAGCTGCTATAGTTTTAAAAAGAAAATTAAATACATTGCATATCCAGTGTGGTCCTGAGAAACCAATTCCCACATCGAAGTAACTCATATTTAAATCCATACCAATAAAGTTGCTGAAATTTAAAAAAAAATCACTGCTAGAGTATGTGAAATGTATGTATGTGTATGTGTGTATCTTTTTTTTTACTATGGATGCTTGTATTTTTCTATATAACCTGCCAAAATTTTAAATTTTAGCTGCACAGAAATAAAAATAATAAAAAAGTATATAAAGAACCAAGAAATTGACATAAGCAGTAATAGTTGAAAATAAAATTGGCAGAAAAACAATGCAGCACATTATAAAATCCAAATATAACAATGGAAATACCAACATTTCCTATTTTCCAAATGTTATTATGAATTGATATTTCAGTCATAAATTTATTATGTTTATTAAAATAAGACAGCAATAACTGTCATGCTGTAACAGCATTTCCCAGCTATACAATTCTGTGTGGTATCAGAAAATACATCTTCTAAACACTACTAATCTTAACAGCTTTAGTATGATAAGTTTTACCTATATTTTTGCTCATTGATAGTCTTGGAGGAGAATTTGCATCCTCCGATTCTTCTGATGAGTGAGCCAAGAAGTCATGAAGCTTCTGCACCAATGTATTCAATTTGCTTTCACTGTTAAAAAAAAAAGATGCACCATTGAATATATCCCTTTTGGTATTACAGAATGAAGTATCTCTGTATCTCAACCAAACAAAGAAATCTGATATGCATAAAATAGGGGGAAATGGGCTGTTCTGAGAATGAAAAAACGGTCCCATTCTAAACTTCTTTTGGAAGTTTAGAATATTCCATGTTATGGCAAGAAAAAATTCAAAATGTTTCTATTGTTCTACCAAGGAACAATGGATACTTTGTTCCCATATTATTCAGTCCATGACCCCAGAAATACAATCAATGAGGTGACAGATGACATTAAGTATTACCTACTGAATTTACAAAATAGCTATTTGTTACATTTAACTTTAGCCAAGGTAATAACTCTTTAAAATAAATGTTAAACAATGTCCAGACTGCAAAAGTATGCTTGTTTCTATTTAACTATCATTTCCACTGCTTGCAATTAGGTTGCAATATTACTCTATTGGCACGTATTTTATACAACAATCAGCAAATAACACTTAACATGAATTGTCACACCACTTATTTTACATACTTCTTAGTATGCAAAATGAAAAATTAGGGCTTACATGTGAGTTACCATTCTCTATGGTAGAAGATGCAAAATAAAATGCTTGTCCTTATCTATGGAATGTTTTGTTTCTAATTCAGAAGCTTCAAGGTATCCGAGCTGACGTTTTCCATTTTCCTAGTAGAAATGATCATTTATGCACCTCTATCTGCAGACATCTACATATATGATCAGGCACTTATTTTTTTTCCAAAAGTTTTTATTTTTTAAATTTTATACATCTTTTCACGTGAGCAACATGTTTCCAGATTATAACACTTGTACATAGTCATACTTTCATTTCCGTTAATCTGATATACACTGCTCAAAAAAATAAAGGGAACACTTAAACAACACAATGTGACTCCAAGTCAATCACACTTCTGTGAAATCAAACACTTAGGTAGCAACATTGATTGACAATCAATTTCACATGCTGTTGTGCAAATGGAATAGACAACAGGTGGAAAGCATAGGCAGTTAGCAAGACATCCCCAATAAAGGAGCGGTTCTGCAGGTGGTGACCACAGACCACTTCTCAGTTCCTATGCTTTCTGGCTGATGGTTTGGTCACTTTTGAATGCTGGCGGTGCTTTCACTCTAGTGGTAGCATGAGACAGAGTCTACAGCCCACACAAGTGGCTCAGGTAGTACAGCTCATCCAGGATGTGGCACATCAATGCAAGCTGTGGCAAGGTTTGCTGTGTCTGTCAGCGTAGTGTCCAGAGCATGGAGGCGCTACCAGGAGAGAGGCCAGTACATCAGGAGACGTGGAGGAGGCCGTAGGAGAGCAACAACCCAGCATCAGGATCGCTACCTCCGCCTTTGTGCAAGGAGGGACAGGAGGAGCACTGCCAGAGCCCTGCAAAATGACCCCCAGCGGGCCACAAATGTGCATGTGGCTGCTCAAATGGTCAGAAACAGACTCCTTGAGGGTGGTATGAGGGCCCGACATCCACAGGTGGGAGTTGTGCTTACAGCCCAACACCGTACAGGACGTTTGGCATTTGCCAGAGAACACCAAGATTGGCAAATTCGCCACTGGCATCCTGTGCTCTTCACAGATGAAAGCAGGTTCACACTGAGCACATGTGACAGACGTGACAAGGTCTGGAGACGCCGTGGAGAATGTTCTGCTGTTTGCAACATCCTCCAGCCTGACCGGTTTGGCAGTGGGTCAGTAATGGTGTGGGGTGGCATTTCTTTAGGGGGCCGCACAGCCCTCCATGTGCTCTCCAGAGGCAGCCTGACTGCCATTAGGTAGTGAGATGAGATCCTCAGACCCCTTGTGAGACTATATGCTGGTGCGGTTGGCCCTAGGTTCCTCCTAATGCAAGATAATGCTAGACCTCATGTGGCTGGAGTGTGTCAGCAGTTCCTGCAAGACGAAGGCATTGATGCTATGGACTGCCCTGCCCGTTCCCCAGACCTGAATCCAATTGAGCACATCTGGGACATCATGTCTCGCTCCATCCACCAACGCCACGTTGCACCTTAGACTGTCCAGGAGTTGGGGGATGCTTTAGTCCAGGTGTGGGAGGAGATCCCTCAGGAGACCATCTGCCACCTCATCAGGAGCATGCCCAGGCATTGTAGGGAGGTCATACAGGCACATGGAGGCCACACACACTACTGAGCCTCATTTTGACTTATTTTAAGGACGTTACATCGGCCTGTAGTGTTTTTTTCCACTTTGAGTGTAACTCCAAATCCAGACCTCCATAGGTTGCTAAATTTGATTTCCATTGATAATTTTTGTGTGATTTTGTTGTCAGCACATTCAACTATGTAATGAACAAAGTACTGTATTTAATAAGAATATTTCATTCATTCAGATCTAGGATGTCTTATTTTTGTGTTCCCTTTATTTTTTTGAGCAGTGTATTAACTCATATCATTATCCATTTCACTCATCTTTAAATAAATTTGCATTTCATATTTCAGTTTATTAATTCAATATCAATATCATTTCATCCATACTTAAGTTTTCAATTCTTTATCCTCTATTATTTCCATTTTCAGCTTACCACCTATTTTATTTTACATTTCACATTATTATCCTTAATTTTCTCTAAGCCGATATATAATAAATGCTGATCAGGCATTTAATGCTTCATTTACATATTGATTTTATTTAAACAATTTGTTTAAACAATTACTTATGTAAACTATTTGTATGGTGACCCATCTTGAACAGAATTCTGAGCAGCTAACAATGCAGTAATAAGAGCCATAGAACAAAAAATCTGGCGCCTGAGAATACAGAAGAACAGTCTTGGACTTATGCCATAAAAGGCTTTAAAGGTTATGACCACCACCTTGAATTGGGCCCAGAAGCAGATTAGCAACCAGTGTAACTCGTGTAACGGTGGTGTTGCAATGTGCCATCCTCAGGTTCTTAGGACCAACTATAGCTTCCAAATACTCTTCAAGGGTAGCCCTATGTAGAGCATGTTGCAGCAATCCAAATGGAAGATGACCAAGCCATGAGTGACTGAGTACAGAGTCGCACAATCTAGGAAACGACAACAGTTGATGTACAATTCAAAATTGTGCAGAGGCTCTTCTAGTCACAACTGCCACAACTGAATTGTGAACCTAGGAGAACCCCCCTGGGGCAGGGCCACCCCATCCAGAATTAAAGAGGATAAAGCTCCATTTCTCTTATCTGGGTTCACTTGAACCCTGCTGTCCTCAATTCAGGCCCTTGTGGTCTCCATGCATTCTGGAAGGGCTGCCATAGAAATGGAAAGCTGTGTATTGTCAGCATATCTCATCCCATGGAGTTGGATGATCTCTCTCACTCATGAAAGTGTCAAAAAGGAAGGGAGAGAAATCCTGCAGTACCCCAGAAAGAAACAGCCATAAGCTGGATTTCTCTCTCCCACCCGTGGAGAAAGGCACCGAACCGCTGCAACACTGCACCACCTAGTCCAAACTCCGAAGCCACTCCAAAAGTGGTAAATGGCACTGAAAGCCAAGAAGTCAAGGAGAGAGATAATCTGTACCTTCCAGGACCCTCTGGAGCTGCCAAGCAACCATTTTCTCCATCACCTTTCCCTAAAAAGTAGAGTGAGATCTAAAGATCGTTTCTTAAGGAGGGATCACGGCCTCCTTTAGGGGTATAAGATTCTGCACGCCATCCTGGGAGCTGTCACTAACCAGGTTGGAGAGGGATCTAATAAGTAGTTGTGCTAACAGCCCCAAGGACCTTCCTCCATTTCCTCAGATCAAACTGCTCCCAGATAACAGGGCAAGTCCCTACCCTGGACATGCTCCACACTTGGACTGAATCAGAGCAATTTCATCTGTCAGATATTGCACAAACTCCTCCGTGCAGCCCTTAACACGATCCTCTGAACCCTCCTTCTCAGGAATCAGGTAACTTTGAACAAGGCCAACAGGCAACATTCTGCAGGTGCAGTAAGTGCAGGGAAATAATGGTATGTTGCTGCTCTTCCCACCACAAGGTGGCCTTAGTAGCAGCTTTGACCTGTTTACAAAGCCTTAGTAAGAAAACACTTGAAATACTGCATCTAGTTCTGGTCATCACAATATAAAAAAGACGTTGAGACTCTGGAAAGGGAGCAGAGAAGAACAAGAATGATTAAGGGCAGGGGTGGGATTCAAATTTTTTAACAATCAGTTCTACGGGCGTGGTTTAGTTGGTGGGCGTGGCTTGGTGGTCATGTGACTGGCTGGGCATGGCTTGGTGGTCATGTGACTGGGTGGGCGTGGCCAACTCAACATCACTCACATCTAGGCACGCATCTCCTCACCTGGCCTCTCATGACTGTGGGGATGCTGCAACAGTTGTAAGTGTGAGAAATGGTCATAAGTCATTTTTTTTCAGGGCCATTGTAACTTTGAATGGTCACTCCACACAAGCAAAGTACCAGCAAAGAAGGAAAAAAACTCCAGAGAAGTTCCTGAGACAAGAAGTCTAGTCCTGCCAAGAATGTAATAAGGGTTAAAGGAGAGGCAGTTTCTGTCAGCAACACCAGAATGTTTCCTTCCAGCCTTCCTTACAGGATTAGGCCAATAATTTCTTCCAACAACCAGTTCTCCAAACTGCTTAGAATATTAACAACCGGTTCTAGCAAATAGGTGCAAACCGGTAGAATCCCACCCCTGATTAAGGGGGCTGGGAACTAAAACATACAAAGAATGATTACAGGAACTGGGTATGTCTAGTCTAGTGAAAAGAAAGACTAGGGAAGATATGATAGTAGTGTTCCAATATTTGAGGGGCTCCTACAAAGATGAGGGAGGAAAAAAGTATTTTCCAAAGCATCAAAAGGAAAGACAAGAAACAATGGATGGAAACTAACCAAGGAGCAAAGCAACCTGTCAGCCTTCAAGATCTTCTTCCTTTGCTTTGCTTCTTTCTGGCTGTCATGAGTAAGGGGGGGGAGGGGGAAAAGTATGGGAAGTGAGCTGGAGG